AAAACTACATTTCTTAATTACTGCGGGTCTTCTGATTAGTGAAAACGATACAATTTCCAACGCGCTAAAATGATCTATCTCATAAGGACACTTACGAAAGTAGATGCGGCTTTTAACTAATTTTATATTTTAACAACTTAAATGTAAAAATCTATAATTAAAAAATAACAAATAAGTGTATTAAAAACTCATTTTACATCGTTATTTTTTTTACTTTTAGAAAACATTGTCCATATTCATAAAAACAACTAAAAGCAAATAAAAGCATTTGAAATTAAATAATATATTTTTTTTATTGAGTTTTGTATGTTACAATTCAGAGCTGATTTTCAGGTAAGGGGCGTCCAATTCAAAGCAGAAAAAAACAAAAAAAAACATGATTCTTTCTTCAAAGCCTTTTAACTATTGTAATTACCAGTTTTCTAGAGTTTTCATAAAATTAGTTATGGGTGGCGGGTGTAATTAATATAAAAAAATATTTCCGCCATGACTTTAATAAAAAAAAACTTATTTATTTCGATCAGCTGTGAATATTTTCAGAAAGGTTCATTAAAATCCGACAATTATTTTTATTTTTGCATGATTTTCCAATTTAATGTGCGTCATACAAAAATTAAAACGTGCTAAAAATTGTATATGTTATTTTACTAATTCCGGCGATACAAAGAGAAACAAGGATTTTTAAATCAAAATTCAAAATGTTCTAAAAAAAAGGAAAAAAAATTTAAAATAATTAAAATAAACTTAGATCTTTCCTGTTAATAATAACAAACATTTAGACGATAAAATTTTGTTTTCGTCAAGTTTGGCGTCTTTTTCATCATGCTATGCTCTTTTTTTTAGTGATCTCGTGGAGGTACCTATGAATATTCATTTGTTATTTTTTTCACTTAAAGGCAGATTAATTGTCCTTATTTTTTAAAAAAAAGCATTCATTTATATTCAAAATAAATAGTAATTTACAAATATACTAAAAAGGTTTATTTCCTGTAGGGAGGAAGTGTGAGTTTGTAAACAGTGACTATTACTGATACTAATGCAACAATCTTAGATAAAATGAATCGAGTTCTCTCAGTCACTGGTGAGTATATCTAAAAATAAATATTCTTAAATTCACCTACATCCCTCCCGTTCGCCAACGGCTTAGGGGTAGATTCTCCATCTGACGCCAATTCATCCGGGTTTCAATCCTAGCTAAAGGCAACCGGACGTCTCGCCACAAGGATGAGCGGTGATAGAGCGAAGCACTCTGTCACGTGTGGATGACTATATATATATATATATATATATATATATATATATATATATATATATAGGTGCATGTTTCATTGTATAATATAGACAAGGCTTGTCTTTTCATTTTAAGTAAATTCCTTTCATATTGTCTGATAAGGTTAATAACATTGTTATTGAAAGATGGAAGAAAAACACCATATCCATACAAGTTTTTTTTTTTAATCCTATCTAAGCTTACAGCTTACATACGCCATTATCGATGATGACAATTACATTTCAATAAATCTATATCAAGTGTGAGTCAGGTATGTTTTGTCAAATTCATCTGACACTATATGCTGTTTTCTTTTTGTTTGTTTTTATATCTTATTATATTTTGTACATCCAAAATTTAATAAATATTAATTTACAATCACATTTGTTCTGTTTTTGATCGAGTGCGCTTGATCCGCTAAAAAGACCATACATATGTTTAGGAGGGCCAACAACCTATTGGAAAATTGAAATAAATACAATATTAATTAAGCAGAGACTTGTCGCTCCAATATAATCAACATTTTTAAAATTAATTCTTGCTGCCTAAATATATGCATGTACCTCCAAAATATAAACTCCTCCGGTTTGAAATGCATTTTAAAATGAAAAACATTTCTTTAAGCTTTTATTTTATTTGTTAATTCCAAGCTAAAATATGATATTCAATATTTCTAATAAGCAATGTGTATGCTCCATTTCAAACCGAATTGAATGAAATGATTTTATTTGTTAATTTCAAGCTAAAATATGACATTCAATATTTCTAATGGTCAATGTGTATGCTCCATTTCAAACCGAATTGAATGAAATGATTTTATTTGTTAATTTCAAGATAAAATATGACATTTAATATTTCTAATAAGCAATGTGTATGCTTTATTTCAAACCAAATTAAATGAAATGATTTTATTTGTTAATTTCAAGCTAAAATATGACAATCAATATTTCTAATAAGTAATGTATATGCTCTGTTTCAAACCGAATTGAATGAAATGATTTTATTTTTAAAATAGCCACCATTGGTCATATTGACAAATCTCTCAACACAAAAATAATTTACTTTATTAAAATATCATTCACAAGTAAATTATATTTTCTTGAAACATTAATACAGGAATATTACATAATTTTAATTTAATTTGAATTAAAAAAAATATTACTTTCATTTTAAAATATAGCAGAGAAGCCTTTTCTTTACGCGGAGGTTTATGTTTTTATGACGCGTACACAGTTCTGTTGAATCTAGAACGGTTGGTATTTTTTAATTAAATGATATACAATTTTAAAAATTACTTGTGAGCAGTGTCGCTTCTAGAACTCTGAAACTGAGTGGGTGGGCACTTGGGAACCAAGATTTTTTCTGTGGAGGAGGTGGGCAGATTCAAGTAACGTCTTTATTTTCATACTACACCACTATCGTATACACCACTTAGAAATGAGTTTTAGTATGTTACTTCACTAAATTAAACGGAATAACCTTTCATTCATAATAGTGGAGTTCTAATCTCTTTCCCACTCTCAAGCAGTTGGACCCCAAGAGAGGTTAACTTCAAAGCAAAATCAAAGGGTTAATACTAATGTTAATATTAGGTTGGTGTAAAAATAATGACGTACTAATGTCGTTTTTGACGTATTTTTTAAGGTCAAAAAACGACATTATTACGTCATTATTTTCGCACCAACCTAATAATAGCAGAACAGTGTAATTTGTCAGCTCTGATGTTTTTCTTCTACAAAACGTGGAAAGTGTGGGGGACAACTGAGCGGCCAGCCAAATTCCGGTGTGTGTGGCGGGGGGGGGCATTGGCCCCTTTCTGGCCCCCATAGCATCACCATTGCTTGTGAACTCTTTTTTAATACATATTTTTTTTAACTAACCGCTAGTCTTTAAAATTAGGAAACTATTTTTAGTAATTTAATATTTT